TACTGGAGATTTAAATAATATGTGGGTTTGATCTAAGATTATTGATCTTGTTATGTGTTGTGGGATTTTTTTTAATTTAATGTAATACCATTTCTTGATGTTTCAATTTATAAAATACAAGAATATAAAAGCAAGGTATAAAATTTCACTAAATTAATTACAGAGGTGCTTAAAGAAAAATGTGTAAATTATTTAATTTAAATATTTGTTACATACTTTATCTTGTGAACCCTTTGTACAGTGAGGAAGTAGTTCCTTTTATGGGTTAAGGATGAAGGGGCTGATGTCAAAGACAATTTGCTATTTATTCCTGTCTGGTCTTTATTGCTGTATCATTTGTGAAGAACTATCACAAGTTCTTCAGAGTTATCAGTGTTTGGTGTTGATGACTATAACAAAACTTTAAAATATATTTTCACATAGAACACAGACTTCCTTTTATTTAATTTTAATAAAAGCAAGTCTAGTTGAGGAGTAGCTGCAATCCCAAAATCAAGTTTTTAACTCAAGTTCACCAATAGGAAAAATAGTGCGTAGAACTGAGTTGTTCTTTGTTTTGCAGCATGGTCACTCATTTTCCTTTGAAAAGAGCTAAAAATAAGCTGCATTCGGTTCATGCACCAGTGCTGGTGTTTTCTGTGGAACTGACTTGTGGCTCACTGGGAATAACAACATGTACTCAGGATTATTCCCTGCCATCTGCCCTGAGGGCGACCTGCTGTTTTATAGATGTATTTCAAACGTGATTTGGCAGCACAGAACAAAACGTTGAAATGGCATTATTGGCTTCCCTACAGGAGGAGCTTTAAACAGAATTCAGTCTGCTCGTAGGGATTCTGTGTCTGGTGCATGCAGGTGTGACAGTCTGTGCCTACAGCATCCTTCCAAGGAAATCTGATATAGGGAAAAAGGTACCTTTCAAAGGTATCTACCTTTTATTTTGCTGTGTGAATCACCAAATACAGTAGGTATCACAAGCACAATCTATTACAAATGTTCTAGCTATCACTTGTACTTACTGTTTTTTATTTGTAACATATAACATTTCATTTCCTTAAATTGCTGCAACTTGGCATTTTCACTTCATCAGTGTCACCACACAGGTATGTTGTCTCCCCAGGTGTTTGTGTCATGTCTGCAAAAGCTCTGCTGGACTTCCCTGTGCTAACCTGCAGCCACTTCCTTTATCCTGTCACTTCATATGACACAAACCCGCTGTGTAACTGAGCCCCCCCTAAGGAAGGCTGTTTCCTCCTTTCTTTTTTTTCCATTGTGCTCACAGGTTTTTTAAATCTTTTTCTGCCTCTGAAGCTGGGGTGTGTTTTTTCTTGAGCTCCTTTATTGCATCAGTCTTGTCAGATTCCATTGCTGTGGATGTTTCGAAACAGAATTCCTGTTGCGAGGACCTCAATTTCAGATGAGCTGCCTCTGCCAGGGGATGGGCAGCATGCACAAGAGACTGATCTGATCACAGGCTGGACCTTAAATAAGGACTGCAAGATCAAGCATGAGGTACTTGAAGTAGTTTCACTACTTGAAGTAGTAGTAATGTTTTGGTATATTTTCTCACGTTGGGTATGCAGGTAATCCCCCTTGTGGAAAAGACATCTGCCAGGAGTTTTGTGGCATTTTTTCCACTTGAAAGAAAAAAGATTGGCAGGATGGGGAAGTCCTGAGCCACTGAAATCCCGGTGGCACACCAGTCCTGCGTGGTACTCCGGGTGTGTAGGAGTGCAGTGTCACCAGGCAGCCTGTGTGGGACGTGCTGCAGAGCTGGGAGCAGGTCACCACCCTCCTGCAGGTGACTCACAGCCACCCCTGCTCACCCGGCCCATGCAGGGGCTCATCCCCACACACAGCAGCTCTCTCCATGGAATCACAGTGCCCTGGCTTTGGGCAGAGCAGGAGCGTGCACGGTTCAGTTGCTGCTTTAGTAGTAATGAACCTACCCAACGTTTCAGTGCTATCGGCGTGCTCCAGAACCCCCTCTGAGTGGTTTGACAAGTCTGGTTTAGCAGCTTCTCGGGGGACCTGCTTCCTGAGCAGCTCCTGCTGTTCCACAGCTCTTACAAACAGTTGCTCAGAATTATCTCGAGGAATGCAGCACCACAGCTAAAGTGGCCCAGGATGATGAAGCCCTCCTTCACGTCTTAAATGGTCTGTTATCTGGTAGGATTCAAAAAAAGTACAGTGTTGTTAATGCTGCCAAACCCTAATCAATAGAGCTAACAAGTGTTTCAGTGAATCAATATATCAATATTAAAGAGAAAACAAAATAGCTTATTGTTTCCAGTCAGCTGTTTTGGGTACATTTTACTTCAGTAAATACAGAACGTAGAATGAGCACATTTCTTGCAAGGAGTAGTCAAACCTAATTCTCATGGAATGCTTGTTTCCCAGTAAAAACCACTAATGCAAGCCAAGTTCCCAAGTTTCCTTCTGTTAGAACAATGCAAATGACACTTCCAAGGATGAATGGCTGCCCTGGTCTCGCAGGGATTTTTAGGAAGGACAACGTATCTTGCACTTGTGAATGTTACAGTCACATCTAGCTACACACAATGATGCATTCTCAAACGTTACCAGCCTACTGATCTAGGATGAAAAAACTTGAACTAAACATGTTTTTCTTTTTTTACATTCTGATTTTTTCTGCCTTCTTTAAAAGCAAGAGGTTGAATTCACAGCATTTGTATAGAGACTGGTAGGAACCTATGTGCTTTAATCCTTTCAGACTGAATGTAAACCAACTTAATTTGAAACACGGTTTTGCCTTAATGGTTTTAAAAAAATAAAATATTTTTAAAAGTTAATTTAATGACATGTGCTGATCTTTTATCTCCAGGAAGGGAACTCACTGCAATGTGACATTCAAAAAGCAGCCTATTTGAAGCATCTTCAAGTACTGATGCTTCCCTGTGTACTGTTAGATGCCTTTTGAAGCAGGAGTGGGTGTGTCACACAACCCAGAGACATTGCATATACATTTATTTATATATATGACCTAAGTTTGGTGCTGACCCACCACCCAGCTCTGATCTTTCATATTCTCATGGGGTGTATGGCTGGTTTGAGACATCCATGGAATTCAACAAGTGCACTTCTGTGTGAAATGCACCACTGACTAATTCAATGAGCACATCTTCAATTAAATCAGTCAGGGAAGTATGTCACAGGTTTCCTTCCAGAATCTGGGGATATTTTAAGCTGGTAAAGAGTGCTGAAGTGGAAATTACAGCAGAGGAAAAAGACTCTGGTTTCTTCATCAGCTGTGCTCAGGAGCATGGAAGATCTGATGTTGAGCAGCAGAAAGTACTTGAAGACCCCAATGAAAACAACCTGTAAAGGCTGTGCATCCATGAAGAGCAGGAAAAGCTGGGCATGGTATCATTCAGGCTGTGAAATCACATATATATTAAAATATTATGGTACTGAGACCATAATGATCATGTTCGGTGGAAATACAAGAATGTGGAATAACTAAATTCTAAGAGCTGGGCACAGATAATAATCCATTGTCATTCCAGGAAATACCAAGTGGCATGTAGGACAGTCTCCTTTCCCTAAAGCACAGACCAGAGATGCCAGAACACATCTGCTGTCCCTCTGTGGTACCTGCTGGCTTTTCTGCACCTACCAGGTCTTCACAGCCAGGTAACTGTGTAGCAGAGGCATCCCTGACTTGGTTTTTCCTGCTGTAAAATAAATAACTGAGCTGTACTGAGCCAAATTAAATCTTAGGTAGTTTTGCTCTGAGGTTCTGCTCCCTTTTAACACTGAGTCTTTTCCCCCTTCAGTTCAACATAACAAGTACTTAAAGGCATGAAGATTTCTGAGGGCTTAAAATGACTCCTCAGTCATATTGTAAAGGCAAAGATAATGGTTATGAATAAATGAGATAACTGCTTTTGTCTTAAAAGGGCACAGAACAAGCTGAGCAGGAGGGAGAACAGGTCAGACAGATGAGATCCCAGTCTTACTGACAACAGAACTGCACTAGGCAGGCTTTTAAAACCTGCTTTTAAGAATACAATCTGTCATGAACAATGGGAAATTCAGCAAAAAACATATTTCAAGGTATGTTTGCTGGTGTAAACATATCCTGTGATCTCACACAACCATGTTGCTTTGGCAGCTTGATTATAACACTACAATTCCAAGGTGGGAAAGTGCTTTCTTCAGTTGTGGGTTTAGCACAGGACGTGCCTCTAATGTTTATAAGGAACAGACACAGACACACCACAACTTTTAAACAGTGTTCCTAACATGAAACTGAAATATAATACCACCATCTTACATAAGTTTAGTATCACTTTCCCTGAAAGTGTAGTCTTTTGTAACTGCAAAAAGGAATCTGAAATGTTGCCTCCTAACTTGGGTCTTTTTTTCCACATTTAGAGGCATACATATATTTTATTTATTAAAGCACTTAGGGCTTGAAAAGGCTACTAATAGGTCCATTATTGCTCCTCCACTACAAGAAATTTCAGTCCTGAACGGAGGGCACCAATATAGTAAGTTCATTAAAAATAAAGATTTTAGGATACTTCAATGTCCTAAACAACTCCTTGAAATACTGTTGATTTCTTTTAACAAACACAGGTTCATTCTACTGAAATGATTTTTGATGTTGTCCTATTACAAGTTATATGGATGGAAGTGTTGGGAAAAAGAGATGTTCACCAAAGCACTAACATGTTCTGAAGCAAGGACCAGCAGTAACTTGAGTAAAAAAGGTGATTTTGTGATTAGGGAGCATTCTAGACGTATCTTTAAGGCATGTGACTCAGGTTTTACATAAAAGCCACCTAAATCTTAAGGCAGTCAAAACAGATAACTGAAGAAGCTAATTTTTGAGCTAAACAAACTGCTGTTTCCATTGATCTTCTTACCTTTTTTACCTGAAACTGTGTTTCTGACATCCCTATTACAACTGCAGTTTATTTGTCTGGTTCAGGAAAGACTTGAGTGTATTAATGGAACTTTTCTATTTCCAGATTAACTGCTTTGAAAGTGAAAAAGAAGTCACCTTTATTGTAAAGCATAAGCCAGATGTATTCAGGGTCCTCTTGAGCTGCTGTGCTGACATGGACTGGAAGGTTAAGTGAAAAGTGACTGCAAGTGCAAGGGACTTGTAAATACTTTTATTGATTGCAGAAGCACCAACCTTCAAAGTCTCAAGCCACAACGCTGTGATAGCTTTAAGATATTGAGAAATTTAGGTATTATATTTATGACATTTTCTCACAGCACTTTTAGTTTAGACTTAAAACTAAAGCTTTAAATTCCCTGCCTTATGTAATCTTACAGGACAGCACTGCCAGTTTAACAATTGGTGTACACTGACCTGCTTGGGTATATTCTGAATTAAGCCAGATCAATCTGTTTTGGAATTTCATAACACTGCAGGGAGTGTCAAGAACAACACAAAGCACTAAAATAGCAAATGTGGAAATCTGGACACTGTTCCTATGCTCTGTGCTGTGTGGTTTCTTACTGCAAGCATTTCACACGGTGACAGCAGGCTCATCTGCCTTCTTTTCTGGCTCCTCAGCACCTCGGAGCCGCTCCCTGGCGCGGCCGGCGCTGCACGGGGATGTCTGAACCCAGGCCAAGGGCAAGGAAATGTGCTGCTCTCTCTGGTAGTAGTGAGCTGATGAAGGTCACTTCTTTAAAAGGAGCAACATGATAGTCTCCAAGCAGAGAGAGGAGAAACCCCAGCCAAAGAACTGTCGCTCTTGGACCTTCAGGATTTATGCTTTGTATCCGTTTTTTTGCAGGATTTCTGCTGGGGCTTCCTTTTATCCATGTCTTCTTGTATTTCCAAAGGAAAGGCCTTTAGCTTTTCTTTCACACAGGGGAGGCAGAAGCTTTTGGAGTAGAACAGACTACAGTCCTGTAAAGAAAATAATATTACTAGCAGGATACACAAAATGGAAATGCTTACATTCCAGTCTCATTAAACTACATTTATATTTAGAATTCTTCTAAAATGAATTCTTCTTCTTCTAGGCTGAAATATTCCAGCAATTTAACTTTTTCTTACTCAATAATTCTAACATCTGGTTAGAGCCAACTGGGTGAAAAATCAAACTCCCAAATCAACTGTCCCACTGCTCCTGTTAAAGTGACCTTCACCAGCTCCCTGCTCCAGGGAATAGCAACATCCCTCCTTCAGCTGCTTTCTCCTTCCAGCACCATGCATGGGTTTCCTGGCCTGCTCACTGAATTCCAAATGGGATTTCATGGGTAAGCTGCAGCTGGTGTTGCTAATGGATTATACCTGGAGAGTGAATAAAGGTGTAAGAGATTCCATGGATTTTACTGAAACAGCAAAGTTTTCCTCCAAGTCTTGCTTGATGAAGATTTCTAGCTCCTGGGAGGATCTTCCAAATTCCTGCAGTGGTGTGTGAGAATTGGAGCCTCAGCACACTCTTCCTCACCAATCTCCACAAAAATGGCCTCAAGGCCCACACAAGTACCAAGTACTGGAGGCTCTCACAACAGACCATCTTTTCCACAATGCCCAAAAAAACTATTCTTACTTCCATTAAGCCATGCACTTGTACTGTCCTAGGAGACTATTAAAAAGTATCACTATTATATCAGTATCACAGAGGTGTCCAATAACTGGAGTAGTTAATGAACTCAATTCATCTGAGACAATTCAAATGAGATTTCATCCCTTACCCTCAATAAATGTACTCACTGGTTAAAACCTAGAACCACACCTGGTACTAAAGCTTGAGCTAATGTCTCTCCTCTGAACTCTTGATAGCAAAGTATAAAAGCTGTTGAGCACAAAGAAGGTATTTTTGCTATCCCTGTTCTGTTCACAGGTCATACAGACCCAATATTTATTTTTTTCCCAGGAGCTGTAACCAGATGTTAGTAATTGAATAGAAAGAAGCAAAACTGACGGAACATTTTAATGTATTTGCAATATAGAGTTTGAACAACTGGAAGAGAAACTAATTAATGTATTATTCCTTTGCTCTGCAGCGAGACTTGACATCCCTGGTTCTCTTGATGTGCTGATCACCAAATTCCAAATAGGATTTCATGGGTAAGCTGGAATTGATGTTGCTGATGGATTATTCTTGGAGATTTAAAAATGAATAAAGACATCAGTTTAGATAGAACTGGACAAATGGAATCCCTGGGTCTTACCTAAATAGTAAAGTATTCCCCTTGCCATGGTCATTTGCAGCTGGCCTTTCTCGGGGAGCTAGGCTTGGCTATTCCTGTGTTCCTCTCCTTGTTTTGTTTCTATGTCACTATCTGGGCTTTAGCAGCAGATTCAGATGATAATTACATCAAAATCACAATCATCCTGCTTCCATGTGACTTGGAAGCTTGGGGAACAACTTGTCTTCATCCATTGTCCTTTTCTGCATTGACTGCCAGGCCCCTTCACGCTCAGGAATGAGTGCGAGGCCTTAGTCTCTGCAAAGCCCTGCAAGTGGATTTCAGTTGCACAACCTCCAGAGCCTATTGCTTTTTGTCTCTTGGTATCCTTAATACCTTAAGCTGCCAGTTTAAAAGGGGAGATTAGAGTTTCAGTTGGCCTGGCCATTGTTGCTTGCATTGCCAAATGGCACACAGCCCCCCAGCTCCTAGGCTCAGTGCTCCCAAAGGTGGCCACTGGGCCATGGCAAAGGAGGGGAGAGGCTGTTCCTGCAGGTGGGATCCCCAATGTCAAAATGCAGCTCCTCACAGGTAGAACAGGTGCTCAACTTGCATTCTTTCGGCTGAAATGAGTTGCTAGTGCAGATTTTGGCCAACAGAAACTGGGGAAATCATGACTATGAACCACTGCACCCCTGAGCATGTACCTGTAGTCCTGCTCTCTCAGTCCTGGGATTTTCAGCCTAACCTTTCTTTCAATGCCCTACAAATTAAACTTATCATGTAGAGTCAAGCCCTTCTTTTGAACCTTTATCCTGATACAGTTCTGTGTTTAATCAGATGATTCTTTAATGTGTTTTCTCCCTTCCATGACCAAGGCAGGAGGGGGGCCATTTCAATTCCAAATTTAATAGTCCAATTCAGGCAAAACAGCTGCCAAAGCATGCTGCCATAGTTTATTTCTGTTTTGACATGAATCATGTCTGAAAGTAATATATATATGGGGATGGTATCTTTACCACAATATGTAAAGGAAAGGCTCTGCCCATCCCTATCCAGGACTGACCCTGCATGACTGGAAGCAGAGTGGGAAGCAGCTGTAGTATTACATTTATCACTTAATGCCTACAATCATGTCTGAGGTCAGTGCTCAGTCACCTTCTGCTGAGGTGAGCAACAAGGGATGAAACTTGCTCCCTTCCCTCCTTTCTTCTCCAAGAGCCACCTTTTTTCCTTGTCTTTAGAAAGTGTTGCAATAAAACAGAAGTAACTATTTTAAATTACTAATATGGTCAGATTATATAATTTCCTCTCCCCTTTTCTGAAAGGGTAATAGGAAGAAGGGCACTCAACCTGCCCAAAGACTTTTAAAAGCATTTCTATTATCTTCGTTTTTGTGTGGTTTTGACATGTTTTAAGACATTACAGATAATAATTGGAATTATTCCCAGTTGGATCAGAACTAACGGCACTTACCAAGGCACTCTGATAAAAGACTTGAGCAGGGTGATACAAGTTACAAAATGATTAAAGTAAATTAATCACTGAGTGAAACTTCAGAGGATATTTGGAGATATTTAAGTTTATGAACACTATACAGAACAGCTCTAACTCATGACTTTCATTGGCACAATAAAAGGAAATACACTTCAGCTAGCATGGGTTGTCTCATGAAAACCCTAAAATCTGATCTGTCTCTCAAATCCCCTTAGGTCCCCCAAAGCTAGCTAAAATCCCTTTGCCAAATCCCAGGTAAGAAAAGTCTTAATTTTGCCACACATTAGCCTAATACTATTCTGAATTACCAGAATTTAAAAAGCAGTCTGTCACTAAAACCTTTCCAATTGGTCCAGCTTCTTTGCAAAGAGGCCCAAGAAAGTATGATTTTCTTCAGCTTCAATTCCTATGTTTTAACATTTAACTCAGCTCAGGAGTGAATTGATATATTTGGGTCAAGCACAGCCAATACAGAGATATTATTCTACCTTTGTCTCTCCATATTGCCTTAGATTAGTTTTTACTTCTTTGGACTTTAATTTTCCCTACATGAAGAGGAATAGTATGTGTTTACTTACTTTGTGGTGTGGGTGTTTAAAGCACTAATTATCATTTCTGCAGATCTCTTTCAATGTTACCTAAGCAGTATTGCTAAATTCATTTTGAAACCATAGTCATAGGTGTGATTCACTATCTGGCCTGGCCAGTTTGGTAAGAAATTTATTCTCAATTATTTACAATCAATGTTTTACTTTGGGTGATACCATCAGGGGAATCTTGAAAACTCAGATAACAAGCAGTAAATGACTGACAGATTTCCACAACAGGCAAAATAAGCAGGACTTTCAAAAAGACTAGAAGCTTCCATTAGCTCACTGCAAGTATCTTCTATTCATTGCCAAGGCCTGGGTTAACTGAAACAAACACATCTTTTCAAAGAAAAAGCGCCACCTTCATTCAGAAAAGCACAGTGTGCGCAAAGACCCTGAGAGGCTGAAATGCTCTATTTCTGACAGCTCAAACTGCCACACATGGAAATATCTGCTGAATCCTTCCTAAATTAAGACACTTGATTTGGGAATGAAAATAGTTAAATGTGCTCAAGTTTGTCCCAAATGTGTCTGTGTTGCCAATCCTCTGCTGTTAGAAAGGAAGGATAAACCTGGCGTGTCAGGGCAGGAATTGAGCCCCTAAGCCCAAACTCTGAGTAGCTGCTCTTGGCTCCTGGCTGGGCTGCGTGGAAGGGAGTCAGCCCCTGCCACAGCAGGGACAGCAGGGAAGATCCTGCTCATGTCAGCTTGGCCTCCACACAACTGCCCTGAGCAACCTGGCTGTGGAAACTTGAGCCCAGCCACCACAGCCACAACCAGAAAGTGCTGGCACTTCACCTAGTCAGAGCCTGCTTGTAACTTCAGAATAGAAATTAATAAACCAAACCCTCTGAGCTGCAATCACTTTTGGTGACTTTCAGTCATTTAAATGTCAAAAGAGCCTTCAGAGATAGGATGCAGAGAAATACTCCCAGTGCAGGTAGCTGGGTGTGCAAGCTCCCATGTCAGCTGCACATTGTGCCATGGATAGTATGAAACAACTGGAGCCCCCAGCAACAAGCCAGGAACAGGCACAGATCCTTTTCCTAACAAAGGGCTCAGGGCCCTGCATCACAGTCTGGGAGAGGACTGGTCACCCTGAGACTCTGCAGGAGCCAGTGAACAGCAGGAAGACCCCAGACCCAAAATTCCCCATGGGAACAGATGCACAGACTGTAGGGGTATAAAAGCTCAGGGGTTTCTTTATTCGGGGCCCCTTCCAGAGGAAGCAGCCTGAGCTGTTCCTGCTGCTGCAAAATTCAATTATTAAACCTTTTTTCCTGAAATTGGATCCCTGACAAACCTGAGTAAGAAGTTTCTTTAACAAGGAAATAAACCCAATCAGGAGAAAGATGTTACTGCATGCTCCTCTTAGCCCATCCTTGGTGCTGACTGCCACAAGTCAGAATAGCAACTGAACTGAGCCAAGTGTGCCAGTATGCTTCTGGCTGTGTCTGCCCAACTCCCAAAATCTGAGATTCACAGCAAACAAAGGGGCCAGCTCTTCACTGAGAAGAAGGAATTAAGACAAGTAATTTTACTCCACCTTTCTGGACTGCACTCAGATTTCATAGTTTAAGGTTGCCTTCCAGCTGCTACTTAAATTCATTCTTCCTCAGAGAGCAAGCATGGCATGGTACAACTCTCTTCCCTGCTCACTTTAAACATTAATTTTTGCAAATAGGATGATAGCCCTGTGCTGCGAATGCAAAACTAACAATTCATGGATATTTATATTCCCTTTACAGAAAAAAACCTGACCTACTATTGTGTGTGATTTATATTGCCCTTGCACTTCCTGGTGCTAAGAATGTAGAAAAGAGCACTCCTTGTGCTTGAGAGGCTGGACTGTGCCTACCTGTAAGTAGAACATTCACGGTTGCTGATCATTTTAATTTAATACTGAGAGCTTCATCTGGTGGAATCCACAAGAACATCCAACTAGGTACAATTAACATATATGTAGTGGTAGGACAAGGGGGAATGGTTTGCTTTAAAATGGATTGTTTGGGATTTTGCTGCTTGATCTTTCTCTGACAGGTCACCAGGACTGGAACAAAAAGAAATTATTGAAGCAGCTTGTTTTGCTTGTTACTTACTGTACCAACACACACTGCTCTCTACACAAACTGCAACAAGATCTAATGATGAGGAATTTGTCCTTGTCAGGGGTGAAAGGATCCCTCATGACATATGCTTCTTCCAAAAGCCAGCAAAAGAATAATTTCAGGCTTTTAAGTGTATACTTCACTGTAGGGGATGTTTAAGAGGGGGAAATTGTAGAGGCTGAAAAGTTATCAGCCCTTTGTACTTGATTTGCTCATCTTACTCTTGTGTATGTGGTAATGCAGCAGCTCTGCAGCTCCTTTTCAAAACCTTCAGCTCTGCAGCTGCCTTCAGTCCTATACTGTACTTCCTATCTCTCTTCCAAAAGTAGAGCAACTGGTGAGTCTCTCAGTGTCATCTTACTAAGTTTTTCTCAATGCTTTACCTTAACCATCTTCCATTTATTATAACAGGCATCCCTTAGCATGGCAATCTTCAGTCCCTTCAGCACCTTGTCAAGTCACCATTTCAATTGCACAGCTTTTAATCAGAAGTTCTCTTCCAAAGCTGCATGCGAGTATGAAATACAAAGGTTTTACTGCTCTTGGTTGTGTTGCTGCTGTAAAGCTGAGGTCCCCAGCTCCTGAAAGCAGGAGCTACCAGCAGAGAGCCCTGCAGTTACCTCCAGTGTGCTTACTTTATGTCACAGACTGTACTGCTTGCTCCAGGGTGTTGAGGGAGTGCATTTAATAATAATTTTGCAACCTGCTTGGGAAAAACTAAAGCCTTATTTTTTCTGGGAGCTCCAGGCAAAAGAACACAGAAGCCAGTTGAGCATCTGTCTGCCTAGGGCATGCAGCAAGGGCACCTGGCTTACTCCTGGGCTTAGGTAAAATTTGGATTATGGGATAATATGGATAAAAGGTATTCTGTCAGCTTGTACTGCCTTCTCCTTGCCTCCACACACACAAAAGTGCGTGCAGGAGTGTGTCCAGCACTGTGTTCCTCTCTCCTTTTTCTGTCCACTCAAACAGAAAATGATTTGGCCAGAGCTTTCCACTGTTAGGAAAGATCAGGGATCTTATCATGACAGATCACCCTGTCAACAAGTCCCTGGGATACAAAGACAGGATTGTGTCTGCAAAGCTCCCCTTGCAGGATTCCCAGCCCTCATCAGTGCAGAGCCATTCAACAGGGCCCCCTGTCCAGCACATTTCCTGCAGCACTGCATTTGGGACACATGAGCAAGCCAAGAAAGATGGGATGTGAAGCTGTTTCTTAAAAGCATCTATAGAAGTGTGATGCTTCAGCATTATTCTTTTGTTTTTGGCACTTGAGCAATCCAAATAAAGCTGGGGTGTTAACTCTGATATTGGATAACCTAAATTAAGAGTCACATTCAGACTCTTCAGGAATGGACCTGATCAAAGGTGAGCCATTGCTCTGATGAGTGGAAGAGGGAAAACCAGCAGCACTGTGGGGTTTGGTATGATAAAAAGACAGCTGCCAAAGGACAACAGCCCCAGCAGCTGGTGATTAACAGCTGTTTCTATTCTTTAAGAAACTGAGCAGTCTTATTGGAGTGAAATGCTGAGTACATGCCTGACTTCCAGCTCCAGAGAGTTCCTGAACATGTCTGCCTGATGAATTTGTTGACCATGACGGCCTCCACAAAGCTACTCTTGCATTTCAAGCAAAGTGCTTTATTTTATGGGGAGTTTCATGTCTGCAGACAAAGCTGTAACTGCATAATTCCTGGTCAAACTATCCCTACTTTGCAGAGAGAGAAAAGGCTTTGGTCTGAAAATATAAATACACAGTGAGCATCCACACACCCTGATGTTGCACGGTCTGACAAAGGATTGTCCAATCCACACAAAAAAGCACTGCTATTCAAAACTCCACATCATGCCAGATAGCTCTTAAGAAGTGTTTTTGCCATATATATTTCATTCATGCTGTGTGTATGTATTGCTCAGCTGAGGGAGGCTACAGTGAGGGAAGAGCTATTCCCAGAAATACCAGGCTGGCAGTCAGCAGTATTCTTGCAAGAAAATATTGGTACAGTAGAGTAGTCAGTGGGGCTAGGAAATAGGTTAAATACAGATTTTTGCATGGTATTGAAGCAGGGCACAAAAACTGATTGTTGTTTTTCCTACCAGCACTGACAATTTTTAACACTCATTCCCTTTGGAAAAAAGGACATCACTTTAAGTGCCAAGCCTCATGTTCAGTATCAGTAGAGCACATTGTTGGGCTCATGCAGTGCACTCTGCAAGGATTCCAATGCTCATAGCAGAAATTAAGTCTGTGATCTCAGAAGGCACTTGCACAATCAAGTGTGAGTTTGGTGACATCCACCCATAATATGTGCACAAGGCTGATAACTCACACAGCTCATATTTGAACTCTCCTGGTGTCTGAACTTCTTTGGGAGCATCCATTTTTAAGCTACCTGCAAGAAACCCACCCAAAAAAATCTTCTAGCTTCAAAATGCAATGCTGGGAACATATCTGCAAGAAGATTAAAGTGACCTGAGACATCTGGCTTTGCAAATTAAAACCCAAAGGAAAACTGACAATTGCAGACCTTGATGAATAAATATTTTCTCCCAAATCAAGTTTGTTTCCCATGTTCCAGTTAAATTTTCAAATTCCTTAGACAGGTCTATAAACTGCAGACTGGGAGCCTAACAATAAAGTTCACCTATTAATTTGGAACATCCATGAAATAACCCAGGTGACAAAGCACATGGCTGTGATCTTGAAAACCCTCTGCTCAACTGAGGTCTATACTCCCTAAGTGCTTCCTAGGACAATGTTCCCTACCTGCTGCTATGCAGAATTCCAATCCAGTTCTGCAATGCCCATCTCCTCCCTCAAACTGGAGCCATGAAAGGGTTTGGGACCTCACTCAGGAGGCAGGTACCAGTTAAGTTAAGTGTTGCAAAGAAAAGACTGTGCCTTTTTCTTTGCTTCTGGTTCACCTTGGAATAGAGTTTTGGAAGCTTATCCCTGACTCCCTGTTCCCATCTGCCTTTCTATGGAAATGAGGACAATGGAATTACCCTATACCTTGATAAAGTGTTGGCCCATTCCAGCCACATGGGACAAAGGAGCAGACACCTTTAAAAAAGTTTAGGTACTGTAACTTTTATGAAAATAGGCAGAAGGGGAAGACTCTACTTTATGCTCCTGGAGAATACCCATATATTTCTATAAATAGGAGAATCTGCACATAGGACATTATTGTCCATCCTTCTGACAGACTTCAGGCCCCACTACAAAGGTATGGCCATCAGTCCCAAGATACAACACATAGGAAGTCATGTTGCATCAGCTTTGCTGCTAACAGATTACTTGTTTAAAATCCTGGCCATTGATTCACATTTTGGGAGCTTGCTCTTCACTAATATCACTAATATTAGTTCAGAGTCACACCCTCAGCTTTTTCCAAAAGTATGGTGTGGCAAGCAGGCTTTTAGGATTGATTTTTGTCTGTATCAACAATCCTATCAAGCACAGCTAACCATGTGCATGCCCAAAAATTGCACCAATCCATGAAAGAAACTTGGTTGCTTGTTTGCAAACTGGGTATCTTTGCTCACCTGCACCATTTTCTTGTACAGACAATTCACCTTGCAATTATCAAAACTACAGCTTTTAGCTAAAAACCCTCATGCTTTTCATGGTACAGTGTTCTGCTGCAAACCAGTCAGCTTTTGGAAGACAAGCAGGGGTGGTGTCAGGCTATGAAGAGGTGAGCACCAGGAACCTGGGTTTGGGTGGTATCTCCGCAGGTAGGTTATGTGTGCTCCCAGCTGAGCACATCCACAGCATTCCCACTCTTCCAGCAGGGCATTCCCACTCTTCCAGCTCTGCAGCCAGACCCCTTCCCTGCAGAGATGATTCAGTTCACTAAGGCCACATCCCTAATTATGCTTCAGCTCAGGGGGTTTCTTTGGGAACAAATTGCCTGACTGTCCCCTCCTTACCACATAGGTTTGCACCACAGAGCAGTCTCAGAGCACATAAACCAGAGGGTCTCAGAAAAAAATAATCCAAAAGTTGTGCTCCGGAAGCACCTAACATGCTCCAACCTGAATGCCCAGCTGGTGGCCATGCAGCATACAGGCTGGCACCAGAAGTGATCTAAAACATCCCAGAACACAGAGAATGGGCAGCTGGTATCCAACACCCAACACCTCGGTCCATGGTTTGTCTTACTAAATCGCACTAGCTACTAATGCAGCAACAAAATTTTTTTTTTCATTTTCTTCTTCCAATATTTTTTCTTTATTGCTTTTAATGAACTAAATTGGCTTGCAGAGGAATCCAACAGCTGCTAACAGTAGCACAAGGTAAGAGGCAGAACTGCAGCACTAGCAGAAAGGCAGGGCTGAGATGAGGGACCTGCACATCCCTCTTTTGGTGACAGTAAGCTGCTACTTCTGCTTGCCCAACAGAGTGAAACTGAATCCTCAGAGACATCTGCTGACAAGGTGAACCAGGGGCAAGGTGAAGCAGAGCTGGGACTACTTGTCATCTAATGTTCCAGAAGAACAGGGAGATCCTCAGGGGCAACAGAGGCTTCATGACAGACATCCAATTCTGATAGTCCTAGCCTGTTAAACCCTGAAACCTAATTTTGGAAATAATCTCCCTTACCTCATCACTCCTTTACCACCAGCCTTTCCACAGCCATTCCTGGCATTTCAGTAGCAGAGAATTCTTCAGATGTAACACAGATGGGGCTGGACACTGCATTTATAAATAAATTCACCTTGAGAACACTTTAGGAAGCTATTTTTTCACAAATTGTATGACCCTTAGGTATGATGTGTTTTCCCTACCTCACAGGGATGATTGAGAACATTTAATTAACTCAAGTGCTTTCAGATTTGTCAGTTAGTCGTACAGCATGTACATGCTACCCCTTTCTCCCTGTACATTGTAATTTGGATTCTTCACACTATGAGCTAACTCAGCTAAAAAGTCTGCTTTTTGAACCCTGCATTTTAGGATTGCCAGTCAGGTCCCCCTGACATACCTAACTTTACTTTTTCTGCTACCCAGCAGCAACACCAACACACCCACTCGACTGAATGAGATTCAGATCAACACTTGTATGCAATTTTTTGTAATCAGTCTTCCTTAAAAAGGAGAAATCATTAACCCCAAAGAAGTAGAGTACGGAAAGTCACTTGAATCAAATTTACTATAATGCTGACTTTTTCTTTAAAACAGTGCAAAACACCAAGAACCACAACAACAAAAAAGAAGTATTTATGGCAGTGAGGGTCATAGACTTTGGAATGAATATGTCCTGATCCCAAGTTAAAATAACAGCTCTGGGTTCAGAGCTGAAGTACGTTAGATATAGAAACACCTGCTCTCTCACAGACCATCGGCATGTAGAACAGAATCTGTTCAATGCCTACCACTGGGAAGGAATGATATCTATGTACAAACACATTTTTGGCTATGCCAGTTGAAAAGCATATGATCCTGCCTGCAAGACACAGATGAATTTATGATGCTTTCCATCTTGCTCCCAGCTTACAAGTCACTGGTAGCAGCTGTACCAAGTTTTATTTCACTGGGAACATCATTTGTCCTGAGAGCTTGTCTACACATCAGCACTTGGGAAAGTTAAGGTTCCTAACTAAAAGAGTGAGGTCAATGAATACACAGATTTCAGAGTGAATGCTCCCATTCAGAAGTAAAGTTTGCTATACAACAAAGTCAAGCTATTTATCTCTGAATAAAGAATGTCAAGTTTATGCATGTGCTTCACACCTTTAGTCTAAATTGCCAAGCAGACAAGTCCCGAGATGCACTTTCTCTCAAAGAGTCACTTCCAAAAAGTTCCTTTGCTTTGAATAACCATGGCTTTATGCCATAAACCCAGCTGAGCCAGACAAAGGTTTATCACATTGGTCAGCTCATTGGTTTGGCACTACATGCCATCTTAGCAGGATGCGACAATGTGCCAGGTGTTTGTCTGCCCTCCAGACACGTGAAGCAGAGTGAGAACTCATTTCTCTCTAGCAAACCAGCAGCAGGATAAAGGACCTCTTGAGGAGAATGTCTAGGGCACTAATCCCTTCTTAATAATGACAGACAAATTTGTGGCCACGAGCAGCCCAAACCATCACCAGGTGCTACCACTATTTTTTTTTTTTACCTTAGAATGTTCTGAAGCAGCACCGTTTCCCAGTAACACATCACAAGTCTGTCTGGCTGACACATGCTGAACAGGTCTTGGACAACAGCTTGTCTAGAACTGAATTCTGCCCAAGCACTTTCCACTCTGAAAGCCACAGGGTATTTTAACACATCTTTACTTGACACACATGCCCAGCTCTTCTGGAAAGAACTCAGTTATCTACGTGCTTGGGTAACCACTGAACTAACACGCTCTACAGAAGCCTGCTAGGTCAAGCCTAGAGTGCTGCAGGATGTGTGTGAGGTTGGCTCACATGTCCTGACAAAAGGTGAAGCACACAGATTTCAGCTCCATAGTAAGGAAATAACTGCAGTTAAAAAAGTTAAAAAAGTTAACTGCAGTTAAAAAAGAAAGGCACGAGTTAGGTAGTGCTGAAAGAGTGTTTCTCCGTGCTGTCTGCAACTGATACCTGATATAGACATGGGGAAATGGCTCTCAGTCCAGTTCTCTGGAGACTCCTAAAGACTTCAGGGTAATTCTGATTGGAACACTCTGCTAAGAGGCCTGGAAGGCATGCCAGAAATCATAAATCACCCTTAAATTGTCAGGGTCAGTGGCAAAGTAGTAGCACAGATAAGTAATCTGATTTTCTTTGCTTCAAACCTCATTAGCACAAGTATTTACAATGCATAGGTTAAGCCCTTCTTAATACTCCACAGCAGACTCCTGTATTTCTGAGTCACTGATAAACTAGAGAAACCATACAAGAAACAAAGTACCTATAAACAGATGCAGACTTTGATTTGAAAGGCTGTCAGATAAAACCAACATTGACACACCCTTAATCCTCTCCTACAAAACCCTTGTTTCTTTTACCTGCCAGGATTTTCCTGCAGTATTCACTGTTGATTACAATAATCTATTAAAATATTCACAGCTCGATTTTCTACAGGGAGGAGTGCTCTCCAGTAGAAGGGCAGTTCATACCCTGGCATGTGCCAGTGTTTGGTGTGACAGATATTTAAACACCCTTCAGCACCAGCAGCTTGCCTTCTTCAGAAAAGCAATCTGCTGCTTAACTGATCAAGCAGTAGATAAAACAGCAGAACTTTCTGACTTGCTAGTTAATCCCCAGGTGAACAACTTTCTTCCTCCTGCTCCTTCGTGCTACAGCCCTGAAGGCATGTTCAGGTCACCTGTGGCTGCCTCCCTGCTCTTCCTTTGAGGTGACTTACCTTGGCTCCAGCATGAATTAACCCAGGACTGCAATTTCACAAGGCGTGAACAATCAGAACTTTCATCCTTACTCACTCTCCCAAAGATCACTTGATTGAATTAAACCTTGATTTGTTGCAGCACCCTTTTCCCCCAGGCTGGGGGGTTGTGCTGGCATTGCTATGCTTTCTCTGCTTGGAAGGAACAGAGATCCCTGCAGGCTTCCTTCTAGCCACAGGTCACAGAGCAGGGCCCAAGCCCTGCTCCTGAACAACAGCTTCCATGGATTCCCCATGGCAGCAGCAGGATAAACAGTCTAGGTGGTCACAGATGTGAAAGTCACTGTGTTTTCTGAACAGCTGTAGGGACAG